AATAAAAGAACCATGGATATGCAATGGGGAAATGACAGCCTCTTCAACAACTGGTGTTGGCAAAACTGGACAGCTACATGCAAGATAATGAAACTGGATTATAGTCTAACCCCATACATAAAAGTAAATTAGAAATGGATCAAAGACCTGAATGTAAGTCATGAATTTACCCAAAGAAAACAAGACTGATTCCATATTCAAAAAGACATATGTACCCCATGTTTATTGCAGCACTATTTATAATAGCCAAGAAATGGAAGCAACCTAAGTGTCCATCAGTAGTAGATGAATGGATAAAGAAGATGTGGTACATATACACAATATGGAATATTATTCAGCCATAAGAAGAAAACAAATCCTACCATTTGCAACAACATGGATGGAGCTAGAGGGTATTATGCTCAGTGAAATAAGCCAGGTGGAAAAAGGTAAGTATCAAATGATTTCACTCATCTGTGGAGTATAAGAAAAAAGAAAAAACTGAAGGAACAAAACAACAGCAGACTCACAGAACCCAAAAATGGACTAACAGTTACCAAAGGGAAAGGGACTGGGGAGGATGGGTGGGAAGGGAAGGATAAGGGGGAAAAGGGGGCATTATGATTAGCAGACATAATTAAGGGGGTGCACAGGGAGGGCTGTACAACACAGAGAAGACAAGTAGTGACTCTATAGCATCTTACTACATTGATGGACAGTGACTGTAATGGGGTATGTGGTGGGGACTTGATGATAGGGGGAGTCTAGTAACCATAATGTTGCTCATGTAATTATACATTAATGATACCAAAAATTTTTTTAAATGCTATTTATATGCATACAATTATTATTCATATACATACATCATTATACATATAATTTTATACAACTGCTTTTTAAAACAGTTAAGACAGGAAAAGAGAAAGATGCATTTAGTGTCTTTATAAATGCATAATTACCTTTATTGGTGCTCTTTATTGTTTTGTCTGGATTCAAATTAACATCTGGGGTCCCTTGCTTTCAGCCTAAAGAACTTCCTTTAGTATTTCTCATAAAGTAGGCCTGCTAACAACAAACTCTCTCAGTTTCTGTGAATTTGGGGATGTCTTTATTTCACTTGCATTTTGGAATATAGCATTGTGAGATACAGGTATCTGCCCTGACAGTTTTTGCCGTTTCAGCACTTTGAATATGAATATGTGATTCCGTTGCCTTCTGGCCTTTATTGTTTCTGCTGAGAAGTTAAATCTTACATGTATTAAATCTTACTGGGGGTCCCTTGTAAGTAACACATCATTTTTCTCCTGCTGTTTTCAAGATTTTCTCCTTGTCTTGGACATTCAGCATTTTTACTATGATGTATCTATTTGTGATGCTCTTTATAGTTTATCCTACTTGAGATTCATTGAGCTCCATGAATGTGTGCAACAAAGTAATTCTCAAATTCTTTTCAGTTCACTTGAAACAATTTGTTTCATTTAACTTACTGTTGTCAATCAATTTCAAAGCTAATTAATGGTCAGTGTAACAAAACTAGTATGGAAACATATAAAGTAAAAAATAAAGTAACAGTTTGATATGTATCTTTCCAGACTTCCCAATACATAGTTAAACCTGTGGCATATAATCCATTTATTGACCATTTTTAATTTGGTGGAGCTTAAACAGAAAACAGCTTTGTCTTCAACCACTTCCCTCAATGTCTTTCTCCAGCCCAGGTCAGACCTCTCTTCCTTCCCCTCACCCAGCTGCTTCTGGGTCAGCCAGGGTAAGGTACAGTTGGGGGACTAGAGGAAAAGAGCCAATGACTGGGCATGGCAGGAGCACTAGGACCTGTCCATTTTATGCTCAACATGCAATTCTCTATTAGGCAGTTTTTTCTCTGCAGCTCACCATTAGGTTGGCTGAAACTTTGTCAGATCTGCATTATGGTCTCAGGCTTTTTCTGCCCAGTCTTACCCTCTGCCCCTTTTCCTTTCACAGGTGTCATAGCTGCATTATGATCTTCAGGCTCTCCCTGCTCAATTCTGTTGCCCCCTATTTCTTTTCACAGGTGTCAGATCTATATTGTCATCTGAAGCATTCCCTGTCTAATGCTGCTTCCCCTCTTTATCTTTCACAGGAGTTAGCTACCCAATAAGCTTCTAATAAACACTCCTGACTCACCTTCAACATCTGCTCCCCAGAGAACCCAAACTGACAGTCTCCAAATTCCTGTAGCTCAGAGGCACCCTAGTATTTGAGGGGCCCGCTTGGATACTATGGGTAAAATTGTAACATTTCCAGAATATCTAACCGGACTTTAGTACATCTGCATATCAATACGCATTCAGAGGTGGAGAGAAGTATGGATTTAGTGTATTTGCATCATTCCTTAGGGATGGAGAGAAGTTAAATCTCCATATCAATGGGTAATTACCTGGGCTAGGAGGGCTTATCTGTACCCAAGATGAGGGTAGGGCCGGTTTTGCTTCTGCTAGAGCAGGAAAGAGAGAAGGCTCCGGACTGAAGTTTGTAAGCAACAAATGGATTTTAAACTTTATTTCTCCCTTTGACTGATATCGGTTTTTAGAGGTATTTTCCGTTCCCCGGACTTACAGATACCCCACATCCGACAGAAAAAAACTGCAACACTTGTCACCTTAGACTAAATTCTTGAATCTGGTATCTGGTTTGTATTTCAATGAATTTGCCTCAGATTTCTGGTCTTTCCTTTATACAAACTTGGTGAGGTGGTAGTGATGATGGTTGAAAGACTAATTATATATTTTTGTGCATGCTGAAGGGAGTACCTGGCATGTCCTCAGTCCACTCTTTAGAAAGTGAACCTCAGCTTTGAGCTTTAGCCAAAATCCCAAAACAGGAAAATTCTTATTCAAATTTTCCACACACACACACACACACACACATATTATACATACACAGATATATTTATATGGAATGTTGCTTACAAAAGTGAAATCACGCTATTAAATTTCCACACTTGCTTTTTAAAAACCTTAGAATACATGTCCAACACCAAGAGTGAATCCTAGTGGAAACTATGGACTTTGGCTAATAATGATGCATCAGTGTATGTTCATCAATTGCAATATATGTACCACTGTGTACAGGAGATCAACAATGAGGGAGATTGTGTGTATGTGGGGAGAGGGGATATATACTCATGCTCTGTACTTTCTGTTCAAGTCTGTGAACCTAAAACTGCCCTAAAAAAATTAAGGTTATTAATTTTAAAAGATTTTTTTTAATTTTACAATAGTTGAAAGGGTGTCTCACCACGACCCTCCTTACCCCAGAACGACTCGGGAGACACAGGCCCACGCTTGAGATTTTATTATCTGAAAGAGAAAATGGCTGCCCCCAGAGAGAGGGAGCAGCAGCTCGTTTGTGAGGAAGCGCATTTTTAAGGGTGTGTTCTGTGTTGGTGATTGGATCTTAAGGGGTGGGGGTCTTAGCGCACCAGAATTTGCCTTCAGTAAGGAGGGTCGCGGCGAGACACCCTTTCGGTCAGACTTAAGTGACTGGATAAAGACTGAAAAGCCAGTAAAAAAATAATTACTATAGCTAACGTATTGAGCACTTAACGTGTGACAAATCTAAGGGCTTTTATTAGTCTAGTGCTTTGTATATAATCATTAGTCCTCACAACTATCAATATAATACAATCACATCCATTTTAAAAATGAGGAAACAAAGGCACAGAGAGGTTAAGTGACTTACTCAAGAATTACAAAGCTGGTAAGCAGCAGAGATGAGATACAAATGCAGAAGTCCAGTTCAAAACTCATGCTCCAACATGCTATAATCGTCCTCTTTTCTGTAATTTACAGCAATACCACAGACTTGAAATTGCAAGGGTCTGATACAATGTCAATCATGATGGAAAGGTGGGGAAATATGTGGGTGAGATTCAGGAAGTAAAACTGACCATGTGAGGCAACAACTGTGGAACCTAAGGGAGAGGAATCTTAAGATGACTCTCAGACTTTAGACTTGACTAACTGGGTGGTTGATGGTGCCATTCATAGAAAGGGGAAATTCAAAACTCTGGTGGAAAAGATAGAAACTACTGGAGACTTCATGTTTGATGTGCTGTGGGACAAAAAAGGATTGCCAGGAGGCAATCAGAGATACTAGTCTGGAGCTCAAGAGATATGGGCTAGAGATGTAGATTTTTGAGTTCTCATACAAGTGTTAAAGGTTTAGGAAGGGCATGTGGAATAAACAGGTGTGAGAACAGAACCCGGGGAGCATCATCATTTAGGAAGTAAACACAGAAAATAGTCCAGCAGAGACTGAGGAAGGTAGTCGTAAAGCTAACATACCAGGAGACAGCAGCGTCATGAAAGCGCAACCACGAAATTGTCTTTCATCCCACTAGAAAGTAAATAAAGTCTATGAAGCCATGGAACATGTGTTTCGTGCATCAAAGTATCCCGTGTCTAGAGGCCTGACACATAGTAAATGGTCAAAACACTTCCTGAATATGAGAAAACAAACCGACACCACCAAATACCACACAAAGTTCTGGGAAGACAAAGACTGAATGAGAAGTATCCACTTTATTTAGCAACCTTGGGTGACACTGATGATCTTGTCCAGAGCAGTTTCAGAGGAAAGGTGAGGCAAAAGCAAAAGGAGAGTGGCTTAAAAGATTAAATGCCAAGGATGTTTTTGTATATTACTTTTCTCCACTTTTTAATTTGAAAAAAATTTTTTAAAGCTGACAGGAGGGGAGGACGTTGCAGCCACTGACACAGCCCGTTCTTGGATGGAAATTTCTTACTAGGGAAGGAAAAACCTAGGGCTGCAATTACGAAGGATGAAAGGGGATTTTTTCTTAAGAGGGGACGAAACTAGTCTGTTTGCCATCCAATCGCCAGGGCCTAGCACATAATACTGGCCACTTCATGGTCATTCAATAAGGCTTCAAACTGGCCTGCGGCGGGCTCACAAGAAGCTGTATAACACAGACCGGCGCCGGAGCCTTTTCTTTCAGATCAGGCAGAGACAACGCAGGCTCCCGCCCCATCCCCGAGAGCGCAGCATCCTCACCCTAAGCTCACCCACCTCGGGCCGCATGGAAACCAGGGGCCCAGAGGACGGACACCGGCGTCCCCGGGAGATGGGGGAAGGGAGCAAAGCTCCACCCGCTGACAGACTGTACTCTCCAACCTCCCGATGGCGCGGAAGTGACGTGCTTCTAGAACGCTATTGGAGGCAGCAGAAATTGCTTTGCTGCAAGCACGGAAATTGCTTTCCTTTCGGTTTCCGTTCCTGGCCCATGTGAGAGACAGGCCGCTGAGATGAGCGCGATCCAACCTGGGGAGAGGTAAGGGATACAGACCAGAGTCGGGTGGGATCTGGATCTTGTTTGGAGGCTGATCCCCCAGCGTTTGTTCAGTGGAAACCGCCGTTTAAGAGGTGGCAGTTGTTCCCCTTCCAGGACCTCTCCATTCCTTACTATTTACGCGATCCATCCTTTAAAGTCCTTTTAGTTTCTCTCCCTTTGCTCCCCAGCTCTTTAGCCTCATCCGTTAGTTCTGATGTAGCAGTTCTGATGTAGCCTTTCCCTATTCAATATGTTGCACTTTACTTGTCACGTGACTTACTTTCCCCGCCGCGGCGCGTATCAACTTTCTCCGCAAGGCTGTCCCTGTGTTACAAACTATCCTTATCTGGAAACCTTTGCTGCCTGGAGTTTTCTCCCCTGATGTTCTCCTTTCCCTCAACCCCACAAAAGGATCTAAATATAATCCGTTTAGTAACGGTTGCCTTACAAAGATTGCTATATATTGTTAGGTAATAGTAGACTATAATTTATTTCTGGGTTCCAATCTCTTCAGTTAAGCACCTACTTTCCGAGTAAGCCCCGGGAAAATGGCTTACTACTTTTGTCTAATTCTCTTTCCCCATTTCAGGGAACAAGTGATCAAGATGCCACTTCTGAGTAAGCTGCACCTATAAAGGTGTCTTCCATGTAGAGGATGCTTATGCTCAGAAATATTAATGATGAAACTGCCTTGCCTCAAGGGCCAGCATAGCGTCCTCTGCCACCTTACCTAGGGTCTGACATTTTTAGAACCTCCCAGAGGTCAGTGGGAAATGCTGTGCTAATCACTGAAGAGTGCGAGATCTTTTTCATACAGTTTCAGTATGTAATCACTAACAGCTGACTGCCACAGTCTAAATTTACTGTCTTGACAAATTTCCAAAGATGCTCACACTGTCTGGTTTGTACCTCTTCCAGGAGACAGTTCCAGTTCCCATGCTAAGAACTGAAGTTATGTTTTAGAGGTGGTTTAATGAAGAAAAGTTATGTCAGGTGATAATATTTCTCTTCTGTCTCCTTTAATAGCCTTCTGGCTTTAAGCCAACAGGAAGAACTAGAGGATTTGCCAAAAGATTACCCCTTGAGCACCAGTGAAGATGAGGTGGGTGACAACTGCTAAACTGCCTTCTCCAACTTCCCTTCTGCCTTAAAATTAGGGTAGACAGTACAGTTCCTGGAAAGGAAAGGAGTGGCAACATTGTATATATTTGTTGAGGTCCCGCAATGATACAGTTTTTTAGTGTTCCCTGTATAAGATGTTTCATGAAGTGCTACAGGAATCTGAAGATGGTATAAGGTGCATTGTCCTTGAGTTGCTCAAGTATAGTTGAGGATATAAGACCAAAACACACAGTCCTCATTATATGATTTCCCTATCTCTCGAGTTTGGAATTCTGTAGAGAGTTACTTAAATACAGATCTTCCTCAACTTACAATGGGGTTATGTCCTGATAAACCCATTATGAGTCATTTTAAGTCACAAATGCATTTAATACACATAACCTACTGAACTTCATAGCATAGCATAGATTACCTTAAATGTGCTCTGCCTACAGTTGGGCAAAATCTTCTAACAAAGCATTTTTTATAATAAAGTGTTGAATATATTATGTAATGTATGCTGTACTAAAAGTAAAAAACAATGGTTGCAAGTGTATTGGTTGTTTACCCTCATGATCACATGGCTGTCTGGGAATATATTTTCTACTGAATGCTTATTGCCTTTGCAATACAAGTCAAAAAAACTATAATTTGGGGGCTGTCTGTAACTGACTGAAATATACATAATTAAGCTGGCTCTCCAATAGATGCTATAGGAATTCCAACTCTATTTTTTTTTTAATTTTCTACTAAAGTATTATTGATATACACTCTTATGAAGGTTTCACATGAAAAAACAATGTGGTTACTACATTTACCCATATTATCAAGTCCCCACCCATACTCCAATGCAGTCACTGTCCATCAGTGTAGTAAGATGCCACAGATTCACTATTTGCCTTCTCTGTGCTACACTATTTTCCCTGTGACCCCCCACACCATGTGTACTAAACATAATACCCCTCAATCCCCTTCTCCCTCCCTCCTCACCCACCCTCCCACTCCCCTCCCCTTTGGTAACCACTAGTTCCTTCTTGGAGTCTCTGAGTCTGCTGCTATTTTGTTCCTTCACTTCTGCTGAGGCAATCATTTGGCACTTGCCTTTCTCTGTCTGGCTTATTTCACTGCCAACTCTATTCTCTTGACAAAAGTACTTAAATTTGGGGAGTTTTTTTATGTCGGAGTTTCTGTGTCAGCTCACTCTATATATTCTGTACAGAAACATTTTTCTCATAGCACTTTTCTTCTCAAAACAAGCTAAGACACATGTGATATTAGCTCACAGGTAGTAAGGCTCTGTATTTGGCTTTTGAAGCAGTTCTTTTGGTTGGAGTTGGAATGCCTGCACACCAGACCTCATCTGATCCCCCAGATCTCCACTGACCAAAAGAATGAGATGTTTTTACATGGGCCTCAATGTCCACAGTCTTTGTCCCTCCCCTGATTATTCTGATGGTTTTTCTTTTTCTGTGTCTAGAGGGACGTTGATGGAGAGAGAAAGCATCAAAAGCTTCTGGAAGCAATCAGTTCCCCTAATGGAAAGAATAGGTAACAGTCCCATCAGTTTGGACAGGTTATAATTAGCTGATTCCATGAGATGTATCTGCAGCTAACATTTTCTGAGTGCCTAAGACAATGAAGACACAAGTGGCAGCATTGTTAAGACCGCATACTTGGAGACAGATTGTAGAGGCAAATTTTTCGTCCTCTCCACACCTCAATTTCATCAACTAGAAATAAGACTAATAATATTATCTACTTCTTAGGGTTGTTGTGACAACCTAATAATTAATTGAGTTAATAACTGCAAGAATCTTCAACCAAAGCCCAGCATATAGTGAGCATTATGTAATTATCATCAGTCATTGTGTTAGGCCTTCACACATTTGAATTCTTACTTAATCCACATGTAACAGTCTTTTAAAGCATTGAGTAGGCGTTATTTATGCCCATTAGAGAAGTTAACTGGCTTGCCCAAAAATCACTGCTCATAAGTGGCAGATCCACATGTGTTTGAACCTAAGCCCAATACCTTTTCCATTATGCCTGCCTTGTATTACCTTGTATCTTTGAGGGGCTGAGTCCACATTAAGAGATGGGTTAGATTACCAAATCCAGATTAAGAACAGATTTCCTGGTAGCTTTGTGACAAAAACTGACTCTAGAAGAGAAATACATGAAACCAAAGCCTTGTTTGGAGAGATAAGTGTTTGTTTCCCAGCAAAATCTGTCCATTCCTACTATATTCTGTTTTGCCTAATGTCAGGTGGAAACTGGCTGAGAGATCTGAGGCCATTCTGAAGGTATCAGAGTTCAGTGTCAGTTCTGAAGGTAAGTTAACAAAACCTATCCATAGAGTTTATAGAGTTCCAAAACCATAATGGTCATTTCATTCCCCACCCACCAAGAACTATTTTTGATATGTTTAATGAATCATACTATAAATACTTACCTGTGAGTGGGTGAAGAAAGGAAGTCAGATGCCCTTGAGTTTTCTTCCATTTCTAAAAGAAAGCCAAAAAGGCCATGGTCAGGGTCTCCCACTGAGCTTGATGAGCAACATCTAGGATAGAGGGTCATGAATGAAGACAGCTGCCTCTCATTAGCTTAGTCATGTTCATGAATGTGGTATTTTTTTGGTATCATTAATCTACAATTACATGAGGAACATTATGTTTACTAGACTCCCCCCTTCACCAAGTCCCCCCCCACAAACCCCATTACAGTCACAGTCCATCAGCGTAGTAAGATGATGTAGAATCACTACTTGGCTTCTCTGTGTTGCATAGCCCTCCCCGTGCCCCACCACCACATTAGACATGGTAATCATAATACCTCCTTTCTCCCCCCCACCCTTATCCCTCCCTTCCCACCCATCCTCCGGAGTCCCTTTCCCTTTGGTAACTGTTAGTCCATTCTTGGGTTCTGTGATTCTGCTGCTGTTTTGTTCCTTCAGTCTTTTCTTTGTTCTTATACTCCACATATCCACATATGAGTGAAATCATTTGGTACTTGTCTTTCTCCACCTGGCTTATGTCACTAAGCATAATACCCTCTAGCTCCATCCATGTTGTTGCAAATGGTAGGATCTGTTTTCTTCTTATGGTTGAATAATATTCCATTGTGTATATGTACCACATCTTCTTTATCCATTCATCTACTGATGGGCACTTAGGTTGCTTCCATTTCTTAGCTATTGTAAATACTGCTGCAATAAACATAGGGTGTTTGTTGAGGTATGTGAGCTCTTTATTTTGGATGTCAACCCTTTATCGGATCTGTCATCTATGAATATATTCTCCCATACTGTAGGATGCCTTTTTGTTCTATTAATGGTGTCTTTTGCTGTACAGAAGCTTTTCAGCTTGATATAGTCCCACTTGTTCATTTTTGCTTTTGTTTCCCTTGCTCAGGGAGACATGTTCATGAAGAAGTTGCTCATGTTTATGTCCAAGAGACTTTTGCCTATGTTTTTATCTAAGAGTTTTATGGTTTCATGACTTACATTCAGGCCTTTGATCCATTTCGAATTTACTTTTGTGTATGGGGTCATGATTCTGTTTTTATTTCAGTTCTCACAGCGCTTTGAGTTTGAACAGGCAGATAATCTCTCCTGCTGGAGCTCAGGGAAGTCAAATTAATTACTCATGGGTCTTCAACTAGTATAATGTTTCTCAGCCTGTTTTCTGTATTACTCCTCTGAGGAGCCTTTTTTCCTTGTTACCTCTCCCTTCCCCCCGACAAACCTGCTCCCCCAACACCTGGCCAGGAAGTAAAATATTAAAGAATAAAATTTTGTCAGATAGGATTGAACTTTGGAGGAACACAAAACTGTGTAATATCTTAAGGTTTTTTTTCACACCCTGCCACCCCTGCCATGAACCAGTTTCACCCCTGGAGTCATGGAATTGGGTATCACCCCTATTAGGAATATAGGATCTAATAAATTGCAGAGTTAGGGTTTTAACCTGATAACAAGTATAGGTGCCAACTCTTTTTCACTGTATCCACAACTTAGGCGACTTGAGGAGATCTCAGAGTATTTACATTCTAGTGTTGGGGGGTGGACATGAGAATTAAAACAGTATGATACAATAATGTGACTGGCTGCCTTAGGTTGCTGGTCATGAAAAGTTTCTGAATAGGCAAAGTTTAAGCTGAGATCTGAATGACAAGAAAAGTCAGCCATCCAAAAAATAAGGGAAAGCACTCCAGGCGGGGGAGCGGCTAAGGCAAAGGTATAAGGAAGGAACATGTTTGAAAAATAGGAAGAAGGCCAGTGTGACTGGAGGATAATGGCAGTGGGGAATGGCGTGAGGTTGGAGAGGTGGACCAAAATCCCATATGGAAACCAGATCCCATAGGGCTGTGTCCTTTAGATGGATGCAATTCAAAGTATAACAGCCATTGGAGGACCTTCCACATGATCATGACATGTTATGATATACATTTTCAAAGTGTCAAGTATCACATTGGCTGCTATGCAAAGAATGAATTGCAGTGGGGCAAAAGTGGAAGCAGAAAGACAAGGAGAAAGGCAAATGACTTTTTAAAATAAATAATTTTCTCCTTTCTCCCACCCTTCCACACATTTGAGAATGTAAAAAAGTAACAGTATCAGTATAGCTAGTGATTGAAGTTAAAATTATTCCTGTTTCCTGCACATTTGCCTCCTTACCAGCATTTTTTACCCATGTATCTCCCTATGTTGCCTCTTTACCAGTAATTTTTATTGATATGTCTCCCTATGTTATATTGCGATTTTGCTTTACTTCTCAGTCTGACCAAAAAGTTTGGCCTTTTGACAGGATCAGGAGAAAAGCTAGTCCTCTCAGATCTGCTTGAACCTGTTAAAACTACATGCTCATTGGCCACTGTGAAAAAGCAACTAAATAGAGTCAAATCAAAGAAGACTGTGGAGTTACCCCTTAACAAAGAAGAGGTTGAGCGGGTATGTTACAGAGAATGTAGTTCATTAAGTGGAAATTGAACTGACAAGGAAACATTGGGTGAGAAGAGGAGGGAGAAAGCCTGGCAAATGGGAGGGGGTGAAGTTCAGATCACCTCACTATGGAAAAGATTAAAAGTAATCTCATCCTGGTTGTTTCTTGGAGTAAAAAACATTGCCTCCTAATTTCCTGCTAGTCCTTTGTTTGATGCTTTATTTTGTGTCTCTTTCCCTCTGTGTACTTTGCTGCCTTCAGATCCACAGAGAAGTGGCCTTCAATAAAACCTCACAAGCCCTCTCCAAATGGGATCCCATTGTTCTAAAGAACAGGCAAGCAGAGCAGCTCGTTTTTCCCCTGAAGAGGGAGCAGTCAGCCTTTGCTCCCATTGAACATGTGCTCAGTGGCTGGAAGGTGAGTGCCACCAAAGGAAACCACACCTGGGAAAGTGAGATTGCACAACATGGAGACTACAGAGCCTGCAGTTGATTTGATTGGACATGTTAAGCCCAAATCCCAGCTGCAGTCATTTTAGTTTAGCAGTTTAGGAGTCAAGGAAGTGAGAGGATAGTAGCAAGATTCATTATCAGTCATGCAATAGCCAGTCAGAGAGTAAGTAGCTCTGTGGTTGCCCTAAATCAGTTTGTAGCATATCGTACAGGTTATTTACATGTATTTGTGGTAAAACATCCCGTTGCCAGTAGAGAAGGAACATAGTGATGTTTCCTTTTTCACACCCGTTTTTAAAAAGCCTTTAAAGCCACATTCGGATCTGGGGAAAATCGAACTCAGTGGCATTAATGATGCCTTAGTAGGGATATGTGAGCAGCAGAACCAAAGTTTGCTTGTAAAGGAATAACCACACTCAAATAGAACGTACTGCTGAATATGACTAGAATTTTAGCAAGTAATTCATTATGACTGAGCTGCAGAAAAAAAAGATATTTTAAAGCTGGTTTTCCCAAACACTGATCACTAGCAAATTTTTCATCTGTCTAAAGCAAAAAGATAATGGTGAGTATGGTGAGTGTGAGGTTGCCAGTTCTTCTTTATTAAGTTATTCTTCCCACTTTAATTGAATTGAAATAGCTTTTCTTTTATGAAATGATGATGGTGGTAAATGATGGGGTTGGGGGTGGAACAGTAATTTCTGCCCTTGTCAAAATTAAAAGCTGGTAATCCTTTGTTGGTCCCTAAAGTCTCAATTTTTACTGTGAACAACTGCTTCAGAACAACTAGCCTTTCTTTTCCAATATACCATTGGTATCTGTCCTAAGTAGAAGAGTGAAAAATAGCAGTGCCTAAACTATGGATAGGTGCTTCTCTGCTTTCTAAAAATCCAGAAATAATGTTGCCCTATGTATCAGGAAGTTGAGATCATTAAAGCTAATCAAAGTAAACACTGCTTTCCACCATAGCTACAAATTGAGCACATAGTTGCTTTTTACAGGGAACAGCTCTTGTTTCTAATATTCTTGGAAGTTGGCCAACATTCTCTTTCTAGGATGCTACCTTTTCCACATGAAAGAGATCAGGTTTAAGGTATGGCTGCAAGATGGAAGGGAGACTTTAGGAAAAAAATTTTAAGAGGTAAATACAGTTTGCAGGATTCAAAAACCAAAAGTAAAGAAGATACATTGTGAAAAGTCTGACCCCACCCCATCCCTCATCTGCTCATTTTTACCCCCATAGTTACCCAGAAGCAACTATTTTTGTAAGTGTGGTGGTGGTGCTGAGAGTTTTGTTGATACATTTGTGATACACAAATGTTACACATTGTTCTATACCTCGCTTTTTGCAAACAACAGTGTCATCCTGGAATTGGCAGGAAAATGCCAAGTTGGTGATTAATGATGAGATGGTGGAGGAGGAGGTTGCACTGAGAAATGTACAGCCTTTGCTCTCCAGGAACCCCTGTGCACTACAGAGCAAGGCCCAGATGTTATACATGGAGTCAACTGTATCATTCATTCTAAGATTAATTTTTGAGAAATTACACCCCAGCATGGCACAGAGCAATAAGGAAATGCTAAGGTCAGGGCGTAGTTTCTGGCTAACAACTCACAGTTCTCTTCTCACAACTTAGAGTACAAAGTACCAAGGACTAGTAATATACTAGTATTTCCAGAGATGAAGAATCCAGAAAGTCTGCACTATAGTTTCGGTCCAACTTCATAAAATTCCATTTGACTCCAGCTGAGAAGAAGTACATGGAATAACACATATAAAACAGAATACCATTTGTATTTGAAATGGTATTGCAGAGAAAGCATTTGTAAACTGCTAAGTGCTAGAAATGATGTAAGTTGACTCTGACCACCCCGTAGCAGCGTATACTAGCATTTCCCAAAGTGTTCCCAAAACCTTAGTTTCTCACTATGCCCTCAAGAAGGAGGGTGCCACGATTCTGTGGCTAGAAAATGCTGCATGCCCCTACTGGAGATTGGCAGCTCACAATATACACTAGCCTTTTTTTTTGAGAGGGTATCTCTCATATTTATTGATCAAATGGTTGTTAACAACAAAATTCTGTATAGGGGACTCAATGCACAATCATTAATCAACCCCAAGCCTAATTCTCAACAGTTTCCAATCTTCTGAAGCATAACGAACAAGTTCTTACGTGGTGAACAAGTTCTTACATAGTGAATAAGTTCTTACATGGTGAACAGTGCAAGGGCAGTCATATCACAGAAACTTTCGGTTTTGATCACGTATTATGAACTATGAACAATCAAGTCAGATATGATCATCCATTTGATTTTTATACTTGATTTATATGTGAATCCCACATTTCTCCCATATTTTTTTTTACTAAAATGCTGATACACTAGCCTTGTAAAGATTATGAAAAGATAGTAAAGAAATCCCTTTGATTTACTCTGACCCAGAGTACACAAACTAATATTAAAAAACAAACTAAATTTTAAACTTCTGAAAACTGAAGTAAATCTCGTTAGCTAATGAGGAAAAGAGCTGGTCTTCACTGATGTCTGCACTCTCTCTCTGTCTCTTCCTTCCCCTGGTGCCCTGCTGAATCTTCTCTCAAAGGGCATTCATAAGAGGTCTCCAAGTCCCAAGCCCTCTGAGTCGTCTTTAGCCTATTTGACACTATTGACACATAATATTGTTTAAAGCTCTCCTCCTTTGGCCTCTGTGACACAGTGCTGATTTCTTATCTGGCTTTTCTTAAGTGTTTTTTATTCTTGCTCTGCAAATTTCATGACTTCTGACATCACCTGTATGTGCTACAGATCCTCCTCAGCCCCTTTTTCTGAGTTCCCATCCCATACTCCACATGACCAGTAGACTTCGCTTGTGTCTTCTGTGTGCACCCTAAACTGTGCACACAGCAAAGTAAGCCTGGCATATTCCTTCCCCAGAATACAAAACCCTGTACCACCAACTTCATCCTATAACTCAGTCAATAGCATGAGTCCTTTAGGTTGGCCAACTCAGCCATCTGAATCCTCCTCCTCCCTTCAACTGCCACCCCTCCCCAGCCAACAGTGGGCTAGTCCGGTAGGTTCTGTCCCTGCAATAGCTCTCAGCTCCCTGGTTCCTCTTCTCATTTTCATTTTCACCCTCCATTTGGCACTTTACATATAATTCCTTATGCATTTAGCAGGATTTTCTTTCTGAAACACAAAACTGTCACTCTCCTGCTTAAAATCCTTCAAAAGGCTCTCCACTTAGGGAGTAAGACAGAAACACCTAGCATTTTAGCTACATGGGACAACACATTGTTCCCTTATATACCTCTCCCTTCCATATGTCTGCATTTTTGCTTATATTTATCTGTTTGGCTTTTCCCACCCCATCCTTAGAGTTGTACTTATGTATCAAAGATTAATTCAAAAAGTCTCTTCCCAAGCCTAACCTATCCCTAATCAGAATAAATTGTTCACTTCCTCTGTGATTAATTCTCTGGACTAACATTTAACATGTTGTTACTAGTATATGTGTCTCTATGAGAACAGGAACAGTCTTAATTATGTATTCCTAACAACCTGCACAAGCCTGGAATGTAGCTGCAATCAATAAATGTTTGTAAATTGAATGGAACTGAATTGGAGGGAGATTACAACATTGTAATATAAATCACTTTGTAGCCTGTGATTGATCACTACTGTAAATACTAAAAATGGAAGAACATGCACCTTTACTATTCAGTAGAATAGGTTTATGGTTAAATCAATAGCACCATGTAACATGTGATGATGTGTGTTTACGCATTTGTCCAGATACTAGTAAGTTTAATACTGACCGTGATGTATATGGCTATTGAAGAAAACCACATGTAATATGTGTGTGAGGTTTGAAGCTGGCTTTGTTGCCTAGGGCTGTCTTTGTGTCTTGCCAAAGTGGACCATGGCATTATCTGCCTGATTAGCCATGCTTACCAGTATCAGTCAAGCAACCACCAGGGTCTTTTGTTAACACGTCAAGTAACTGGATCACAGTCCATTCATTTCCTACATAGAGACACCACCTAGTATGCAAAGTTAACTGGAAACTGAGGAACTGAAGCCAAAGTTAGGAAATAACTAGAGTTAAATTTGAACTGTCAGGAAGCAAATACCCAACCTTCCCTTTCCTCTAGAAATACTCTTAAAAGGAAGCTTGTATGAATCTGAGATTCCAACACATAGAGTAATAGTTTTATGCTTCAAATATATATAACAGCACAGGGACCGTTTTGTTTTGCCACCGTCAAAACTGATAATTTGGTACTGCTGTTGCTCTGTCCTGCCAGCATTTACCTTAAGGTCATCCTGCTTTGATTCTTAAGAGAATGGTATTCTGTTTTACATATACTGGTAATCTGAACACAGAGTGATCCCCTTAGTAATATTGGAGAGTAGTCTCAGAGGCCACTCACCGAAGTTGTCTTAAATCAGAGTAAAATAAAGCTTTATACACAGCTGAACAGTGAAATTGGAACCCCCTTCTCTTCCTGTAACAGTCCTACCAAGTTAGAGACTCCAATCAAAGTGTCACAAAGTGGATGGTCACAGGACTATAAGGACGGTGACTGTAGAGCATGGCCTAAAACCTAGAATGTTCTGTTACTTTCTTCAGGCAAGAACTCCCCTGGAGCAGGAAATTTTTTATTTGCTCTATAAGAATAAGCAGCCAATGACAGACCCTTTACTGACTCCTGTGGCAAAAGCTTCTCTCAAAGCCATGAGCCTAGAAGAGGTAAGTGTAATAGGCCCTTTGATACACCCAGGTATGCTCTGTTTCTCCTGGTGTTTGTCCTCAAGCCCAGGAGTCACTGTAACTGTCATTCATTGTAGGCCAAGATTCGCAGAGCAGAACTTCAGAGGGCCCGAGCCCTGCAGTCCTACTATGAGGCCAGGGCTCGAAGAGAGAAGAAAATCAAAAGTAAAAAGTAAGGCGGCCCCTGTGAACTGGCCTTTCTATGAAAGAAGTAATGTGTGTAACTGTGAGTCCTTAGGAGAGAACCTTTGATGTAGCAACTGGGGTCATGTAGAAGAGATCCCAAATAGGAGTGGCTAGCCCTTTTTTTTCTCAGTCCAATCTCAGGGTTTTACATGCTTCAGTATTGTCCTCTCCTCTCGCTTTGACTTTCAGTCTTGGTTTTGCTAAAAAGAGGACTGTTCAATTACTTTCTCTCCCTTCCAGGGCATCACGGAGTGGTTCTGCAGAATGAGCTATGAATTCTACAGCTGTTGAAGCCAGTAGGGCTTCCTTCCTGCCTTTTTGCCTCTTTGGAACTTCTACTCTTGCTTTGCACTATAGAAGCAGAGGGCATTCTTTGCTCTGCAGAGGTGTGCCCCTGGGGGTCCTGCCAGTCCTCTCAGGCCCCAAAGGCTCCCTACAGTCTGCAGCTCTGTGATGTCCATTTTAGCCCCTGCATAGGGAAACCCCTTGGGGAGTGGGGACAGTGTTGTGTGTGGCATCAAATGTTTCAGCTAAGTCTGTTCCCTCTTACCCAATAGGTATCACAAAGTTCTGAAGAAAGAAAAGGCTAAGAAAGCCCTAAAAGAGTTTGAGAAACTGCAGAAGGTCAATCCTACTGCAGCACTGAAAGAACTGGAAAAAATCGAAAAGGCCAGAATGATGGTGAGGCTGCCACTTGCCCCCACCCCCTGAACCAGCTTTTCACAGATAAAGGTCAGGCTCTCACTCTGCCCTTTCTTTCCAGGAGCGAATGAGCCTTAAGCACCAGAACAGTGGGAAATGGGCAAAGTCAAAGGCAATCATGGCCAAATATGACCTGGAGGTAAGAGACCCGTTAGGGTAAAAGAAGAGATGGAATTGGAGAAAGAGAGGAAAATCATTCCATAAGGTTGCTAGCAGAAGCAGAGCTGGGGAAGAGCCATGAGGATGAATGGAAAACCAGGAATCTAAAAAGGCATCAGAAAATCTCTAAGGCAGAGAGAACAATGAAAAGCAACAAGGTAGGAAAGGAGAGATGAAAGGGAAACAGCATTGAAAGCAAGTCCAGTTAAAGGGGAGGAGGAGCTTTTTCTTTTACCTTGTTTCAAATGTTGTTATCTTGAGGGCAAAGAATTTGTCTTCCATTTTATTCCATAGCTGTTAACACAGTGTGTATGTGCAGTGTAAATAGTAGGCCCCAGTGAGAAATGCTTAAGTCAAATTGAGAGAAGGCAGCATTAAGAAGTGGATCAGGAAAGGTGTTACTGCAGTAGCTAATGACTGGGTGCATGTGCCGGGGCTCCTTCCTCCAGGCTCGCCAGGCTATGCAGGAACAATTGGCCAGGAACAAAGAACTGACACAGAAGCTCCAGGCAGCCTCCCAGAGTGAGGAAGAGGAGGGAGATGTGGAGGAAGAGGGTGAACTCCTTGTCCCTGATGCAGTGAATGAAGTACAGATGAATGCAGACAGAGGGAACCCCTGGATGTGCAGGAATTACTCCAGTGATGCTAAAGAGCACAAAATGGAGAAGGACCCCGAAAAACTTCCAGAGCCTATGGCCCCCAAGGCTTCTGAAAGTGAAGAAGAAGAAAGACCCCTGGCAGAGGAAGAAACTTTGTTAAAAGAATTGGAGGAAAGGCGATTGCTTAGAAAAATGTCTGGGCTCAACCAGAACGCCAAGCTGGAGGGCAGACGAGAAACAGCAGGTGAGTAGTGGTGGAGAGAAAAATTGTCCACCCACACATGCTGCAGACTGATTAGACTCTAGGAACTTCACAGAGAGTGCCCTGGGCTCCTGAAGAGCCACTCCTATTTGGCATCTCTTCTACATGACCCCAGTTGCTACATCAAAGGTTCTCTCCTAAGGACTCACAATTAGACACATTACTTCTTTCATAGAAAGGCCAGTTCACAGGGGCCTCCTTACTTTTTACTTTTTCTTCTCTCTTCGAGCCCTGGCCTCATAGTAGGACTGCAGGGCTCGGGCCATCTGAAGTTCTGCTCTGTGAATCTTGGCCTACAATGAATGACAGTTACAGTGACTCCTGGGCTTGAGGACAAACACCAGGAGAAACAGAGCATGCCTGGGTGTATCAAAGGGCCTATTACACTTACCTCTTCTAGGCTCATGGCTTTGAGAGCTTTTGCCACGAGAGTCAGTAAAGGATCTGAAGAAAAATAATAACAATTTTTCTTCAATGGCATTTAATATACATGACCTTACAGTGTATATTCAGACAGGTTTTCTGCTCTTGAGAGCTTAGAGTCATGAGAAGGAAAATACACCACCTTTGAAATAAGGGCAGGAATTAACATTACTGGTGCCCACAAACCAGAGAGAAGTACATGTGGTGGGATGGCAAGTCTGAAAGTCCATTTGTGCCAACAGACAGAGGTGGATTTTGAGGCATTGTGAAACATCTTCAAATGTTGCTATTTTCTGTTTTGTTCGTAAAGTAGAAGTCCCATATTTAGCACTTCATAATGTGGGGTGATAAGTGAGCCTGTCTTGGCAGGAATGAATGACTCCATATGCTCCATGGTAAATTAGAATTGTTACCCCATGCTCAGACTCAACTTGTATATTTAATGCATTATATGATGGTAAGAATCTGTTTCTCCAGGGCAAAAAAAAAAATGTTAAAAGAGCTGTCATTTGGAATGTATTGTAGGACCCTTACTTAGGGTTTTCAGCTGAGAGTTCTGGGATTAATAGTTACAAGCAGTCGCTTCCAAGAGGACTTTGGAAAGCAGTACTACAGGCTGAGATGGTGGGGAAGTCTCAGTATGACCACAGGACAGCAGCACATCCTCCCAAGCCCCCTAAAAAGATGCCCATCTAGCTAAATGTGTAGAGCAGTTGTTTGTGGTATGAAAGGTGGATCTGGTTTTCCTTGTGTGATAAATAAATAGAATTTATTTAAAACCTTTGGGGAAATAGTGTCTTAAAATAGTGGGAAGTCGTGGACCCCAAACAAAATGAGCAAGGAAACTTAATTCTTGAGGAATAAACATACATGTGTCCAAAGGCCAGATCTAAGGAGTTTCTTACAGTGGTTTTGAGCAGGATGAACTCAGGAATGGAGGCAACTTGAGTCAATGCAAAGAATGGTTTAGAAGTGTGTATTTGCTCAGTTGTTGCTGGTAAGTGGAAAGTGCAAAGCTACTTGACTTGCCCACAGAAGATTAGGAAATGCTGCTTCAACATAAAATAATGCCAGGTAAGGTTTTTACAAATAGGAAATCACAATTTTTATAAATTACAGTGAAGTTGTATTCAGAGGCCACATGTTAAAATGGCTTTTTTAACATCTGGAACTTGGAGCAGTCTCCCTAAGCAGGGTTTACTGTACAGGGAAATTAATCCACAGTTGCTGTTATACAGTGAGTCACCACCAGCATAGCTGGGAGTAGGACCCAGGACATCTGCTTCCCAACATGCTGCTCTTAACTACTAAATCCCATTGCCTGCTACTTGCCAGGTAATGATTATAAAGAACTCTCCAGGAGATTGAACAAATGGAATATTTTCTCATTGATTTCTCCTCATTGGAATGCCTTTCATGGTACCTAGCACCCCAGTGCTTGTTGTTGAGTGTGATAAATGCTCATTGACAAGGCAACTTCCAACCTCCTTTCCTGACAGCTCTCATTACTTCCCTCAGATTCTAGCAGCCAGGAAGTGCTGTCACAGAAACTCAGCAAGGAAAACCATCAATCCAGGAAGCAAAAAGTGAATTCAATTCTGCTGGTCCAGAGAGAGGAACCTATCAAGGAAGAAGAGCCCCAGTTGTTCCAGAGGCCAGAGAGAGCACAGACTCTGGAAGAGCTAGAAGAGCTGAATAAAGAAGGGTGTTTTCAAAATAAGGAGCTTCCCAGACCTGTGTTACAAGGAGAGTGGATACAGAGGAACGCAAATAATCAGCCTAATGCCCCCAAAGAGAAGAAAAGGCAGGAGCAAATGATTGAACTGCAGAACCTCCTTACCACAAAGTCTCCTTCTGTGAAGTCTTTGGCAGTTCCAACGACGACAGAGGAGTTGGTGAGCAGAGCCAGGGTCGTGGGTCCATTGTGGGGGATCAAAGCGGGAGCAGAGAGTTCCTTCTTGCATGAGGAATAGCATCAGTGAAATTTTGTTGTGCTGGGAGCACATTTTGGTAGTTGAGAGGTCCATAGTAGTATAGGGCCAGGCTGGTCCCAGTGACACTTTAATAGATGCAAATATGTGAGCGCTGACAAGACCCCCACATCCTGAATCATAAGCCACCAAACCTTCCCTGGGGTGACTCTAAAACTGCCCTCAGAGGAAAGAGAGAGGCTCTCGAAGCTCTGATCCCAGGCAGACAAACTGAAAGGTGAGTCATTGAGCTATTACCAAGGTTTTACTCTACTAGGTGGAATCTCAAATGGTCTGGGACTCCCAATTAGATAACTGAAACTTAAGTGAGGAGCCCTGGCCCCTGTTTTTCAGGGATACCCACTGGAGGATGCCCACATTCTGGCCTGGCTACTTGGAGCTGCTTCTTCAAACACAGGCCATTCCTTCTTCCACCTTGCAGCTTCAAACAGTTTAAAATTGTGTCATATGGTAATGAGCTAGAGATACTTAACCTAGAGAGAAGAAAATGGGAGCTTGGCTACCGATCAGTTTGTATTGCAAGGCCTTCGTTGTTCAGCGTTTCCCCCTAGGGGGCGCCAAAATATCACAACCCAAAATTCAAGCGGTCTTGCGAACTAAGGCTCCTGAGTCAAACTAGCTTTCGCTCTGTTTCTTCCCAGGAAGACGAAGAGGAGAGAGCTCAAAAGCAGCTGATAAAGGAAGCTTTTGCTGGGGATGATGTCATCAGAGACTTCTTGAAAGAGAAGAGGGAAGCTGTGGAGGCGAGTAAGCCAAAGGACGTGGACCTGACTCTGCCTGGCTGGGGCGAGTGGGGTGGTGTGGGCCTAAAGCCCAGTGCCAAGAAGAGACTCCGGTAAGAACAAAGAAGAGAGCCTTTCAGAAAGGGTATCAGGTCCTCACCTCATCCTCATGCGTCCTCTTCTCCCTTTTAACTAAGGCCTTAAAGCTCTCAGGCACCCTGCTGTTCTGCTTTCCAGGTTTCTCATTAAAACCCCTGAGGGTCCTCTAAGAAAAGACAAGAATTTGCCAAATGTGATTATCAATGAGAAGCGAAACATCCACTCAGCAGCTCATCAGGTGAGGGAGAGAGCACTCTCTGCCGCCTAGCTCTCTTGCTCCGGAGGAGTATTCTCCTGCTCTGTGGTCAAGAGGGATGTGTGATCTTGACCACAGAATCAAAGCTATTCTTGTTTTCACTGACTGCCTCTGAGATAGGTAAGTCCAGAAGAACTCTGTTTTAAGTTAAAGACCTGGAAATTTAAAGGATAGACTTTAAGGATAATCTTTGTAGGATTGGTGAAGCCATAAATCCACAGTTTAAACAAGTATCCCAGATAATTCTGATGCAAATGGATCTCACCAAACTAAGAAGTACTGTTCTTCAGATCTGTGTTTATAGTCAACGTAATGTTAAGAGGCTATAGGTTTGAGCTACATCTTAAAAACAAAGACAAACTGGAACTTGTTATCACTGGACAGTGAGAAGATTTTAAATTGTGTCATTTGATAATAAACTAGGGATCTCTACCCAAGAGAAACAAATTTGAGCATGATCATGGTCTTTTAAGTATATTGAAGGCTGTCATGTGGGGTGCAGTCATGTCAAATGGAAGTTATAGGAAAGACAGAGTTCAGTTCAAGGGAAAACCTACTGCTGGTCCAGAGGGAGAATGGGTTGCTCTGAGGGTATGAGCATGTATAAACAAGACTTGGGAATGAGATTAGACTTGATGGCCTGACCCTGAGATCTGTTCCCAGCCAGTATAATATTGAAATGTGTTGTGTTTTCCTTTGTGAAAAAAAGGGAGGGACTAATAGGTACAAAAGAGAGGTGAGAAAATACCATTTCAGTAATACTCTGTTGATCTTATTTTGTGAACCAGTTGCTTCAGAAATTGAATTGTGACCATTATAATTGAAGACATAAAACCAGAAAATAGGCAATGAGCGGCAGTTACAGGGTAAGAGAGAGTGAAGAGGGGTACTTCACCAGGCCAGGATTCTAGATAAAGGGCAGAATGTGGACCTCAATAAACATCACCATTCCTTCCCTTCCAGGAGTCTTATCTATCTTTTTAATACAGTCACAGCAAATTGACAAAATAGTTTTCTAAGAATCTCCCTTGATTTTCTTAATCTTTTTAATATGATACAGACTGCAGGTCCCAGCATGCAGTGGAATACAGTGTGCTTCCAGCTGAAGGGGAAAAAAAAGGCCCCCAAGACTCTTGCTCTGGGTGAAATGCACAGATGTAGCTACCGACCCCAGTAAAACTTCCCTTAAACCTAAAGAGAATCTGTGTTTTTCACTACCACTGGGACCATTGAATATCTCCAAAGACTACTGACTGTAACTTCCTCATTTTTCTGCTTACTTTTTTTTCTCTTCTTTGGCCTTTGGGGAAGTGTTTAAAGATTATTTAAATGTCTAAAGGTAGTGCTGTGGTGGAGTGGAGAAGAATACTAGGCAAGGGAAGGAGCCCAGGTTCTGTTCTCCCTCCCTGTTCATAATTTGGGTAAATCACTTCTGTCTAAGCCAAATTCTGGGGCTGAGGGAAATGACCTTTGCTATTATCTAAGCAAGAGGATGAAGCTAACTAAGCATAACAGCTTGATAGAGATCAGTATTTGTGGGTAAAGTTTTGGGTTCCTTTAAACATCAACCCTGTGTACCAAGGAAAGGAAAGGAAGGGATAGAGAGTGTGAAGAAGGTAGGAGGGTCATAAAATCCACAGGGATACACACTATCCCCAGATGTTCTGTGTAGTCACAGTGTTGTATAGGAAGACCCACTTGGGGACAGCAGCCCTGGAACTACTATACTGTTACTACAGCTACAAGGGCAGTGTTCTGATGATTTTTCAAACCCTAGATTGGTGGATGAGCCTGGGAGGAGGGGGGGCCCTGATCCAGATTAGACCCCTCTACTCCCAAAAGCTCTCAAGGGACACCCAGGTTAGATGGGGATATTGGGATGCCTTGATCTCAGTAGCTTCACTCACTGCAGCCATCATGTAGAACTGTGAACTGAAAAACTACCTGACCAGTTGCCATTAGAGTTTACAGCTACACCCCAGGCCTGGCTCATGACAAATCACTCTGTCTTCCTTTCCAGGTGTGTGTGATTCCATACCCGTTCACCCACCATCAACAATTTGAAAGGACCATCCAGACCCCTATAGGAACTACATGGAACACCCAGAGGGCCTTCCAAAAGCTGACTATGCCCAAGGTTGTTATCAAGCCAGGCCATATCATTAAGCCTCTAAAAGCAGAAGATGTGGGCTACCGGTCTTCCTCAAGGTCAGACCTCTCTGTCATACAGAGGAATCCAAAACAACTCTCCATACGTCACAAAAAACAGCTGAAGAAAAACTCTATAGATTGAGTTGCTTAAGGAGTCACATCTTGGTTCCCAGAACCAGGCACACCAACTGCTCTTCCATTGGCCCGGTTTTATTCCAAGCTGCAGGACAAATTCCAAAACTGGCTTAACACACTGTGGATGTAGTTATGCCACGTTTTAAAAGTAAAGGCATTTTTAACTATTTACCTGGAGTGTATTCTGTGTTGTCTCAAGTTAGACACCTTTGGGTGCTCCCCATCTCATTTCTCCAGTCACACTTGTCAGGGGAAATTCATTTTCTTACCAAGGATTATGTAGTTAGTCCTAAATCAAAGTGGGGAAAAGTTAACCCTAGCCTGTGGTCTTAAGTGTATCACCTCAAACATGATCCACCATAAATAACCAAATGGAAAAGTCAGGCATAGTGACTAAATACTGTTAACATAGGAACAGAATGTACAAACCATGCATTTGAATTATGCCTTGGTTTGGTCCTAGGATGATGGTGCTGACTGATGCTGGGTTCAGCATTAAGTCTAGCCACTAACATTTTCTTTCCGTGTGAGTCTCCAGGCTTGCACAGGTTGCTGTCTACAGTAGCTACCACTTATTTTCTTTCTTACGACTCTGAGGTTTTGCCTTTACAAATGAGGTCGATGTGCTTTCAAATGAAGCCCTATTCCCTTTCCTTCCAACTCCTCATTGTTTATTCAAAGTATGGTTTATTCAAGCATTACTTTGCTAAATGGCAGTCAACATGGGCTTTCTCAGCTCTTGTGGAACCTGCCTTTCTTTGGATGACGAGAAATAGATATATGGGAAGAGCTCCTGTAGCCATGATTCATAACAAGGAATTGGAGAAACTCCTCCTGGATTCCAAAACAACATACCACTACGCTTCATCTCCTGCCTTGGAGGTTGGTTCCCATCCAGCCTTTATAGGCCAAGACGGGGGTTAATTTGTGTGTATTACAGACCCCTCTAAGAATTTGATGAAGTTAGGAACCCACTCCAGAAAAATGTTCTACATACATGTATACTGTTCTACATACAGTTGAGGAGCTTTACAGATATTTGGAATCCATGGGCCAAAGGTTCTCTGACACTTTTGAGTTTTGTAAATCTCCCTCACATATGGCCCTCTTTTCCAAGCACACAACTCTTCAGATCAGTTCCAAAATATTTAAAACTCAAAGGTAACTAGTTTCAATGCTTTCATAGGCAAAACATTTCAGTGTAGAGTGATGTAGCCAGTGTTACACACTGAATGAGTGACAGTAGGCACTAGGACCCTAGACTAACTCCAAAGCCCAAAACCACACCATAAATTTCTAAGACATTCCCAGTGGTGGCTGTGGGCCCCTATTACCATTGCTAATGATCTCAAGAACCAGCCCAAGGCTGGGAAGGGAAGAGAACATGTTGACCGTGTTCAGAGCCCAAAGGGCACTTAAAATTATCCCTTGGTTTGGGATTATCCATAATCCTTTTGCAGGTTAACACTCAAATCAGTAGCCAGTAGGGGAGGAATGGGAGACCCCTGCCCATTTCTGCCTCCCTGTAAGAAACCATAACCACCTCTTCACCCTTTTGAGCACAAAGCTGCCACCTCCGTCCCACCCACCCCCCAAATTGAAGCGCCCAATCAAGTGTCCCTTAAACGGCCAATCCCTGTCTACTTTCCCGGGACCCTACTCAGCTCCGTGTGCTCCCCGCGGCCCAGGAGTGATGCAAACGACCCTACCCTTCAAAGGGGAGGGCAGGCGCTGGAACCTGCTATAAACGACGCCCACTCCCAGCCTTTCAAGCCCCCAAACGGATTCGATTGTTGTTTCGTGGGGCTTTTTTTTTTCTTTTCTTCCTCCGAACCTCCGAAGTGTTCTCCCTTCCCATTGGCCGAAGCTGCCCCTTGACGCCACCCTGGCCTTGCTCGCTGATTGGTCCATTCTGGATGTGCCCAAGCCTTTTTCCCAGGGTGTGGCGCCCCCCCGCCCCCAACAGGGTTCTGACCCCTGGCTCCTCCCTTTCCCCCAAGCCCCCCTCTCTGTTCCGAATGGTACCGCCCTGGCTCGGCTTCCCCCACGGCCCAGGCCGCTGCCCTTAGGGCCCCCGGACGGGGCGGAGCACGCCGGGGACGGGCAGAGGGCGGTGGTGGCGCCTTCCTGCCGAGCCCGAGGCCGCCCCCGCCACCCTCCTGCAGCTCGCATAGGTCCCTCTTTCCCCTGGGCAGTTTTCGTCCTGCCTTGGTAACCCCGTCCCGTCTGTGTGGGCCCCACCGTGCTCTTTTGGTCATCCCGATCAGCAGCGTTGAATTCCTGCGCTCAGCGCACCACACGCGCCCATCCACCTCCTCCCTCGGGCTCTCGCAGCACTCCCCTTTCCCCGTGTCTGCTCACCCTTCCCCTTCCGAGCCCGCCTAAGCCCCGGCCCCCCTTCGCGGACTGTCCATCCCCAGGATCCCCTTCCCTGTGTGTGGCCGTTCCTCCTGGCGGCCTCCCCACCCCTTCACGACCAGCGTGGTGGAGCCCTCCAGACCCACCCCCTTTCTCCGTACCCCCACGCTCCCTTCTTATGTGGTCCCTTCACGTCCCTCCCTACGCCCCTCCCACGTCAGGCCCCCCACACACACACCGCTCCCTCGGAGCGTCCCCCGGCGCCCCTCCCCTACCCCTGCTAGTCTATGCCCCTCCCACCCACCCCGTCCTTTTGTCTCCTCTTTGGTCTCTAAGTCCCCCGCCCCTCCCTCACTCCCGCCCTCGCTCCCTGCGAGCACGCTCTTATCTTCCCCAGGTCCTGGCGCCCCGCCCCCGGCCGCGCCCCGCAGGCCCACTCCCTCCCGAGGCCCTTCTCAGCTCCCGGCGCTCCGCCCTGCCCCCCGCGGCTCTGGCCCGCCAGCCCGGCGGACCGCCCTGGTTCCCGGCTCACTCCGCCCGCCGCCACCGCAGCCGCTCCCCGACCCACCCTTCCCGGGCCGGAGGCTCGCGCTCCCGCGCGCTCCCCCTGCACACGCACTCCCTCTGCTCCTCCTCCCTCGCTAGCTCGCCCAGGCCCGGCAGCGGCCCGGCCCCCCGCAGCCCGCCCTCAGGGGAGCCTCGGCGTTCCGGGGCCACAAGCACCTCCCGGGCAGGCAAACGGCTCAGGAGCGCGAACCTGGGCTGAGTCGCCCTCGCACAGCTCGGCCCTCGGAAGCCGAGCGGGACATAGGCGCCCGTCGGAAGTGTTTGGGGGACGGGCCGGCCGCGGTGCCTCGCGCAGCCCAGGCCTGGCGGGAGCGCCCCAGGCAGACACCGCGACCCGAACGCCAGGGATGACTTTCCCCGGAGCCCCCTCCTGGCTCCCGCCCAAACCTGCGCCCGCAAAGTGCAACGCGCAGCTGGGACTCGGCGGCTAGCGGGACGGGGGTGGAGGACTCTCCGAAAATGCCATGAGAGACCTTAGCTGCAGATCGTGAGGCCTGGGGCGGTGAGGGCCAGTGACACGCTCCAGCCAACGTGGAAGAAAAGGGAGAGCCCATGCGGAGCGCCTCGGGCCCCCGCCTCCCGGCCCGGGTCGCCCCACCACGCTGCTAAGAGCGATGGAGTCTCTGGGCCTTCGTACCGACCGGGCGAGTGCAGGACGGAAATTAAACCCTTAATCCGGGGTGGGGAATGCGACCCAAGTAGACAGAAAACCAGCAACATGCCAGAGGCACTTTAAATATATAGTCTGTTCTATGATACCCAAGTTAACCAAGCTTCCTCGCCTGAATCCTCTCCTAAGCTCTCAGTCGTATCTATTTACTCACCAGACTGGAAGCTCTTTGAAGGGTGCCCTGTTCGTCGCTGTAGCTCACTCAATGGATCCCTGTGATTGGCGGACAAAAGTATGTATTTGTTAACTGCCGCGATCCCTTGTGATTGGCCGACAAGTGTATGTATTTGTTAACTGCCGCGATCCCTTGTGATTGGCGGACAAGTGTTTGTATTTGTTAACTGCCGCCTTTGGGATCTGTGTCATTACTGTGTGAATTAAGGTCGCAAACTCGGGAGGGCCAGGATGGGGCTGGGATTGCTAGCTCGGGCCAGGCACAGCATGATGCCCAAAGGGATGGGCCATCAATGTTTTTCGAGACTTAATGTAGCTAATTATGCGGGAGGCAGATGCCTACCTCTTCCTGGTCCCCAGAACTACGTGCTCCAGAGCTGGACATCCTGAGGAAGAAACTAAGGAGCTGCCTCAGCTCAGTCCCAATCTGAGGCCACGTTGCCGGGGCTAGATCCACCTACACTCACCATCAGGATACAGTTGGTGATGTAACCTTCCAGTACTGAGAATGGGTTTGCAGGGAGCCACATATGCCCCACTTTTAACTCCTATCAGTGTGCATCAGGAGCTGGGAGAAAGGAAGTAGCCAATTTTTTCTCAGTGTGAGGCAAACTGTCCCATAAAAGGATCAAACCTGTAGCTCTACATCCATTTACCCCAAGGTCAAGCTGGGCACCAATATGTCTGGGGAAGGAGGGTGCAAACAAACTGGAACTGATCAACAGCAGTTGACCCCAAGGGAGGAGGGACAGTAGGAGCTCTCCTTCCTCCCATTTATGGATGCAAAATTCACCCTGTACTTTGCAGCCACTCATTTGTAACCTGGTCACTTTAGAATCCAGTCCAGTTCCCTGCTTACCTCACACCCTACCCCCAGCCAGACAGGTCCTCTCTGTCCTTCCTTAGCCTAAGGCTGTCTTCACCCAAGCCAGCCTGCTCTAAATGGACATGGTCAGCGATCCAAGCAGGAACAAACAGTAACAATTGGACAGTGTCAAGAGACTCAGGCAGAGATGCCTCGGAGCTCCCGGCCTCCTCTGCCTTGGCACAGATGTTCTTATTGTCCTGGAAAGAAATATAAAATTCCCTCCCTAAGCATGGAGGAGGGATGCT